TATATATATATATATATATATATATATATATATATAATATATAAGATAAAAAAAAATGTTTTGTCTGTCAATATTCTCCATCCAGAACTCCTCATGTGGAAATATTTTAGTTTCACCTGGTTTATTTAGACATCACCTGAAGCACTGAAGGGCAGCTGCTTCACTTACAAGCTGCCCTGCATCATTATTACTGGATATCTGTGTTTCCTATAATCATATAATGTATAAGTGCATTTTTAATAGTAAAGGGTTAAATGTAACACAACCTTTTATCATTGTCCTATATTGCTTACTGTCTGTTTAAATAGCTCCTTATATCTATTTATTTTTTTTGTGACATCATCTACAAACACAACACTGAGCATGAGCCTAAGTGTATTAAAATATAAAATAATTTTTAACAATTATAAAAGACAATATAACACTATCTTATCTGTAATTTAATAATATCCAAAATAAACAGCCAATTCCAGCATTTTTACCAGACATTAATGTTTGTACTAATTTACTTATAAACTGTGTGGAAATCTATGTAAGATCAAATCAATGTTAATATTCTTCCTCTGTTTGTTCTTGCCTTATCCTATTTCTAGAAGTATAAATAGTCAATTAAATTACTACTATTATGTGGAACCCTAATTATGCTTTATAAACGAAAAATAGCAGATGTTTAGACGCCATTTCTTGTTGTTATACTTTATAATAGAAATAACACCTGCTAATAACTATGCCTGAACTTCCTCAAAGAGTCATCAAAAAATGAAAACAGTAATAGCAAATAAATATCGGTAAAAAGGAAACCCTCACATTTTCTTTTTTAGGTGGCTGTGGCTAAGAATCAGAAATGTTGATGCTTACAGCCTTTATTTGCCCCTTTTTCCAGCAGTCTTCAGAACTCCTGGCTGACTCAGAATATTTCGTTTTATAAAAGAAAAAAAAAGGAGGTTTTGTTTTTTAGTGTACATGATATTAATTTTCTTTTTTATTGGGACTTGTTTTGTAGCCTAATATNGTTTGTCATTTAAAGACTATAAAATTCCCCCTCTATCATTTTGTTTTACTGGAAGAATCGGTTGGTTAAGGGTTTAACAAGAGCAAATAACATAATACAACAGGTTCCTCTCTAGCACCTCATTGTTGCATTCCTCTAATATTAATTCAATTCAATTCAATTCAGTTTATTTATATAGCGTCAGATTCACAACACATGTCATCTCAAGGCACTTTACAGTTCAACCAGATCATACAGTCAAATTGATACAAAGTTTTCTGTCTAAGGAAAACCAGTTGATTGCATTGACTCATTGACTCAAATACAATCCCTACAATCCCTTAATGATAACAGCTTACAGTTCTGTTCTCAATATTACAAGGCACCAATAAAAGTATGCGAAATATGGAAATGCAATATTACATAATCATGAGGAAGGCTGCTGACTTGACACCTGACTAGCAGATGGTCATGGACACAATCCGCAATGAGAGTATACCACAAAAGGGAAATGCTAAAGAAGCCCAGTGTTTACGAAATAAAACTTGGAAAAGTGAAAAGAAATAATTGGTCAAATCCTTCAGAGGATCCAAGACATGGACTTAAAGAGCCACAAAGATGTATTCAGGACACAGGTCACAACTGTCATATTCCTTCTATTGTAAGCTACTCCTGAACCAGAACTCTCTTGCTGAGACTAAGGAAAAAATGGGAAGTTGCTTATTGTCCCGCAGTTCTCTTTTCTGATGAAACTAATTTTTTTGCTTAATTTGGAAATTAAGGTCAAAGAGTCTGGAGAAGGAGTAGAGAGGCATAAAATCAAGGCTGTCTGAGTGAAGTTTCCACATTCAGTAATGATTCAGGGCCGTGTCATTCGTTTTGGTTGGTCTTCTGTGGTCTACTCACCTAACCCCTCCTCTCATTGACCCCCCCCCCCCTAAAAATACTGGGTGTGATGACAGTGGTACCACGGTACGACTGGCCAGCAAACTCACCTGAGTCCTTACTATTAGTTTGTCAATAGAAAGACAATATAAATAGCAAACAATGCAGACGAGAATAGGGCCACTATCAGAGCAAGCTGATCTTCAATAACGCCTCAGTAGAAGCACAAGATCCTTATCTAGAGGCTGCACTGTTCTGATGCAGTAATTAATGCAAAAAAGGAATAATAATAATAATATTAATACAAATAATAATGCTAAATACACACAGGCCTACTGCTCTCCTAACAATTATTATTCTGACATGCATTGTACTAAAAAGTACTAAATCACAATAGTCACTATATCTTAAGTAAGTTATTCTTCAGAAATGCACAAATGAACCTTTTGTCATGTAGGTAAGAAGACGATGTAAAGGACCATACCAAACATCGCAGGCTAACGACTGAGGAAATAAGTATTAGGAAGTAAATATTAGCAAGATGTTGAGCCTTAGCTATGACCAAAAAATTACCTGTGAAACGTCTTCCCGCAGCCGGCAAACTGCTTGTTTTTGCAGCCAAATGCTACACAGATTTTTATGGCGCGTCTCCGTGGCAGTGGGGAGTACCAATATGGCGGCTGGTGGCTTCACTTTTATCG